GACTGCCTCGAAGAGCTTTGTTTTGTGGTGTAGGAGTTGGTTGGAAAAAAGTTAGGGGCGGCCAAACCAAAACATGGTACAAATGCATGAAGTCACTGACAACTAAAATGAGTCATGTTGGTAAATGTAGACTACCTGGTTGGGGTCCGCGAGACGTAAGTCATCGATGGTTATAGACCTTGAATGACATGGCTCAAAATCGTTCGCAATGGCGCAAGTGAATCTATTCGTTGTACTCTCTCAAATCTTAATCTTCTGAATTCTTCAACCCGTCTAGTTTTGTCTTTCTAACCTTATATCACTGAATTATACTTCTCGAATCATGTCTTCGAACCCTAATATTCTCCATTACTTCTAATACTTCTATCTCTACCACTATGGGATTTGAACTGGCAAATGCGTCTCTGTGCTAATGTGGTACGGCAACGTGAACTGATGTACTGATGTACGAAGTTCTAAGTTGTAACCGACTGACTGACTGACTGCATGATTAATGGTTAGAAAAACCACTACTTACTTGCTTACTTACACCTATTACTTCTAATAAAGCATAGATCGTCGACCAGCATTCTCCAACCTACTCTATCCTGGATGTTCCTTTCCAGTTCTTCCCAACTGCTACTCATTCTATTCATGTCTGTTTCTAGTTTTCGGTTTGTTTTCTCCTACAGTAGGTTGTTGTTGATAGCATCTGACCAATGAATGAGGAGTATCTAGTGTAGACAACTGTTCATAAATACTTGTATCTTTTGGATAATGGCTTTTATAGTTCTTCAGTGGGACTATTGATCATTAGTAAATTACATCAGTGTTGTGAAGTGAAACTACTCACATTTCATTGATCAAATTTATTTGTGAAGTTTCCAATGTGAACAGATAAATTTTCAATCGATATTTAAAAGAGTTGCTGTTTCTTGTTTTATTAAACGTAATACTATTTTCCGATTTCATATTTGACGTGTCTGTCACTTATTTCTGTTGATATAATCATTTTTATTCATCGTACTGAGATAAGCCGTTTCAACTGTACTAATTGTTATTTCTATCAGGAAGTGCTAGTCCTCTGTGCGATCAAGGAAATTCAAGGGTGGGAATGAATTTCAAACATTGATAAGCAATGGAGATTGATGTGCATCAAGAATGACTAAACCTATCAGACTATTGATCGATATCTGTGAGGACAATGAGGCCTGAAGGTTATATGAAGTCAATGTTACATCCTACTGTTGCGTTTTCGGGTTAGAATGAATTATTTTATTACTTATCATCTTTACATTGACATCGGAACACAATGAATATCATTGTGATGGAGTTTTGTTCTCTGAGCTGAATGTTTTGGTTGTGGAGCTTTCATTGTTCCTCTGCTGAACGACATCATCATCAGCAGCAGTAAAAATTTCAGATAGCTACAATAACAAATTTTCTTCACGATCTCAACATGAATACCGTCTTTGAACTGCTGCTATATTTGAAAACATATCCAGTTATTTAGAACAGCCGTACGGAGTCAGTTTGTTGATTTCCTTGAGATTTATGGTACACTTTGTTGTCGAAATTTCAATTCGCGCAAAATCTAGTTTCAGTGTTGTTTTCTGTGGACTACTTTCAGCTATGTTACTTCATTGGCTGATGTTCAGAATATGTTTAATTTTACTGAAACAACCAATTGACCTTAATTTGACGGGTTTTTTCCCTCTCAAATTAAAGTCATCCAAAGAGCTGGCTTGAACACATGGAGTGTGGTGAACGAGAACACAGGTGGGGCAACCGGATTGTATTTAACGAAAATTACAGAGTTACTCAGTAAAATTGGAAAACCATATCGTAAATCGTTCATTTGCAAAATATCAGTCCATCATATCGAACTGGACTGTTCCTGTTGCAAAACATCAACATCCATTGTCACTATTCATGCGTTTCATACAAATTCCATTGTGTTCTTCTAACTCTTTCTTTCTTGATCTTCGCCCATCTTCTGCTGCCAGACATTACGTTGACACTCACGTCATATACATATTACTTATAAGTAGCTCACACCACAGGAGTAGTGGATGAACATTTCATTTTAAGGCTATGAATAGTCAACTTTGTGAACATACATTTGTCGCCTCAGTTAAGTGGTGATGAAAGCACGAATTTTATTTGAATTTATCGGGGTTTTAATGCTTAGAAAAACTATCTACACATAGCTGAACTACAACTCCATTCAGCTCTTTCTTTTATCTTCAATTACTCACTATATACAATATTGTTTAGGGGTTTATTAAAAAATATAGTTTTCAGTGTATCAATGTTTATTTCGCACATTTTACATTTGAAATGAATTTTAAAAAAACTAGGCGGTTAAATTTCTGTAATCTAGTGAATAAATTATGAAATTTGTCGTTGATGTCGAGATGTACAACGAACTAATCTAGAATACGAAAAGAATTCGATCAGAGAAACATTTTGTATGACTGCATACAAACATTTGTAGAGAAATCATTAATCAATCATTGTTAGACCACCATTAGAAACCTGGAAGCACTAAAAGACGCCCGTTTCGTCCTGATATGGGACTCATCAGTTGTAGTGCGCATCCACGACTCCTGCATCTCGCAGGATTCGAACCGGGACCCTCAGTATTGAGAGCGAACGCTTAACCATCGGACTACTGGGCCGGCATCTAACAGTGTTAATGTCTAACTCTGATTGATCTACGGATTTTACGCGACCTCACCTATTTGTCTTTGGTAGTTACTACCTACACCCGATAGGGTTGAACTCCATTAGTCACGTCTTCTAACTAGAGCTCCGAGAATTTTTTGACGAAGCTAGTCACTAGTGAGCACATTTTACGATATTTTCAATTAGATGATAAGTTCCATACCAGGACGAAACGGGCGTCTTTCAGTGCTTCCAGGTTTCTAATGATGGTCTAACAATCATTGACTGATGATTTCAAATGTGTAAAAAAACACTAATCTCCAGAACTCTAATTGAAAATATTTGTATAGAACACTGAATGTGTGTTTGTGTACACAACCAAAACAACCAGCTCAGAGAACGAAACACCACCACAACAAAACACATTTGTGTACAAAGTAGCTGTTTGCAGAATTCATTACAAAAGCAAAAACAGACTTTTTGTTTTCTTTCTAAACAAACCAAAAACCTAGATAACTTTTGACCTTTTTTAACATGATTGTATATTTCATTTTGATTGATATCCAGTTCATACGCCACTAAGATTGAACAATGAAACTATACACGATAATACAATACGGCAAAAAAGGGCAGATCATTATCTATCTATTGATTGTGATATAATTTAGTAAAAGTTATGTATTTAGAATAGTTCATATGCAACTGTCTAAATAAATTTCACTTGTAACAGAGGTTACAACTAATCCGTGTTACAAATCACACATTGACTACATGAATAAAGAGAGAGTTATTAGAAAACATTAATATTTTTTAACAGTTATCATGTTTTGATAGTTTTAAATTAGAGTTATGGAGATTAATGTTTTTACGCATTTGAAATCATTGTTCGACCAACATTAGAAACCTGGAAGCATTCAAAGACGGCCGTTTCTTCCTGGTATGGGACTCATCAGTTGCAGTGCTCATCCACGACTGCTCCACTCCGCAGGATTCGATCCCTGGACCATCGGTATTGTGCGCGAACGCCTAACTATTGGACCACTGGGCCGGCATCTAACGGATTTTGCGCGACCAAACCAATTTGTCTACGGTAGTTACTGCCTACATCCAACAGGGTTGAACTCCACTGGTCACGTCTTCTCACTAGAACTCAGAGAATTTCCTCACGAAGCTAGTGAGCTCACTAGGGAGCACATTTTATGATATTTTCAATTAGAGTTATGGAGATTAGTGTTTTTTTACACATTTGATAGTTTATCATCGATTATTCTAAACAGAATTACACAGTTTAGTGTGACGTAGAATATGTGAGACTTCATCTGTCGACTCTAACCGGTACAACAATCGATGTTATCTATACAATTACCAATTATTCAATGAGTAGTTTTCAAAAGTTATAAAAAGTTAAAAGGTTTTGAAAATAACAGTAAAATGCATTTCAAGACAGTCTTTTGATCATATATCAAATATTTCATGTTGTGGTTATTTCTGCGTGTGTGTGTATACCATTCACAAATTCTGATCAGTTATAGTCGTTACATGTTGATAGAAATAGTAGTAAATAGTTTTCTTCAACCGGAAAAGAGAAGAAAACGTCAAGGCACAAACTGAATCCACAGAAGCGGAGTCTTGGAGCTGATCAGCAAAAATATGTGGAAGATCTAGCCACGACAACATAGGAATCTTCAAGAGAAGGAAACATGAGACAACTATTATGATACAACAAAGAAGCTTACTGGAAAATTCGGTAAACCGGAATAATCAGTGTAGAACAAGGAAGGAGAAGCAATCATTGACACTGAAGAACAGCGAAACAAGTGGAGAGAAGAGCACTTTGTAGTAAGTTTGAATAGATCAGCCCCACTGAACCTGCCCAATATCAAAGCGGCATCTATAGACCTCCTAAGTGATGCTGACACGCCAACCATTGAAGGGGTCAGTATGGAAAGTAGACAAATCAACATTTGCAAAATAGAAGGATCAGTAACAACCTACTGCAGGCAAAGAACAAACCAGATTCCATCTGAGAAACCAAATTAGGAAAAAGCATCGAAGATTCACAGGACAAACTTTGAGGAAAGCATCCAACTGCATCACAAAGACAAGTCCTAACTTGAAATCTTCAAGGCCAAACGGAAAGAGGTAGACGAAAGAACAAACTGTACCAGGAGTTGAAGAGAAACAGTTGGGAAGAACTGTGAAGGAAAGCTCAGCACGTAATTGGTTGGTAGCCTATGCACCACAAAGGGTAACAAATATAACTGATGAAGTAAGTTTAAAGGGTAGACAGTTGATGAGACACTTAGCAGTTGCAGATTTTATCAACAATTAATAATTTTTCTACAAAACTGTAAATGTTACTTCCCCTTATTCTTTATTCATTTTCTAGATCATATCGTTGGCAAATGTTTCGTGAAAAAATTTGGTCTGTCATTGATATATCACCAAGATTGATTAATTCACAATTTAATCATTATCGACAACGGAAACAATATGCACCAAATGAAATATTCCCTAGTGAATATAGTTCCGCAAGTGATCAATCCAATCCAAATGATACGAATACAGTAGTTTCAAGTGAAAATAGTACAACGAATCCATGTGAATTATATCATGTCGATAATTATCAACTGTCTAATCCATCGGAACATTTAAATCAACAAGAATTTTCTGTTGACAATGCAAAATCACATCCCATCATTCCATCAGGTTGTAGTGTAAAATGTAAACCATTCGATTTACCAACAATGACATCAATGAATTTATGTTGTAAACAAAAATTGAACAAATGTCCCGCCCTGCTGAGTTTACACTCTTCCTCAACAAATCATGAATCTGTTTATTTAACATGGTTAAGACGTTTTTATTTTATCTATGAAACATTAATTATCACTTCGGCAGTTGGTGTGTTTATGCTATCAACAGTGAAAGATTTTCGTATCCCATTTAATTTAAATATCACTGAATATAGTGATTTATATAATGAAACTATTGCGGATTATAATAATCATCTAGAAGCCAGTATATCCAACTCGTATCGTACAAATAATAGTTATTTTACTTTACCAGCTAAATGGCTTGTACAAATGGATATATTTTTTAGTATTGCTATTACAATCGATGTGATTATACGTATGATATTTTGTCCATGTTTCACTCTTTGGTTATTTTCTTTATCAACATTAATTGATATTCTCTCGTTGATACCATTTTATTGTGAATTCATTTTCTATGAATTAGTTTATAATAACAACAATAATCCTGAAGCGATTTGGTGGTTAATGCGTGTACTCCGAGTAGAAGAATATTTTGTTGTATTGAAAGTATTCGTTGTATTACGGTTATTTCGTTTATTAAGACGACATCGTGGTACACGTGTACTATTTTACACGATACATACTACTATTAGTGATTTATCAATTATTATTTTATTAATTTTAGTAAGTGCTTTATTTTTCGGTGCTGCAATCTATTTTGTTGACCCGACATTTTCTGATATACCAAAAGGATTTTGGTGGGCTCTGATTACTATGTCTACAGTGGGTTATGGGGATTTAGTGCCAAATAATACATGGGGTTATATTGTTGCCACAGCATGTATTATTCTAGGCACTTTGTTAATGTCCTACACTATACCTGTATTAGTTAATCATTTTCTCCTATACTATGCACATGCAGATCAGTTATCTATGGTGAAACAATTACACAGGACAGCAAAACGTAAAATACGCAATCGTAAAATGTCACGTTATTTACAAAAAGCTTTATTAAATGCAAAATCTCTTGTTAATGCAACAATTACCAATGTGAATAATAAAACACAAACTGACATCAATCGATAAGTTTTGAGTGTTGATACTCTGACTTACACACACCCAAACACACAGAGTTTTTGATTTGATTTGAATCACCGGTTCCCCCTTCTGCATTGTTTGTCATTGTCAATTTCGTTCGTGTATATTCATTTCAATTGACAAGCATGAAAAGAAAGCAACTTAGAAGGGATAATAAGTGTAAAACAAACCAAAAACTCTATATTGATCATTGAATCGAACCGCTAAGCTTCATGATTCAATGATCAACATTCACAATATATGCCCATGCACATGCATATCGTACATATGTTTTTTTCGACTGCAGCATACTAAGTCATAAAAAATTTCAAAATATATATTGTACATTTTTTTAAAAAAATTTTTTTTCTTTCTTTCAAACAAACAAATAAAAAAGAAAGCACTTTCTTTTTCTAAATTATTTCGTAAAATGTATCTATCAAACATATTTTGAACTTAAACAAACGATTTCTTTCTTATATGATGGCGTTTCGAGATATATATAGATATATACAGAACAAACAGTTGTTACAACGATTTCCATGCCTTTGCCTCAGAATATTTAAATTATTTATTTTATTAATTAAAACAATTATTAAATTTTTAATGAAAATAATTTATTTAATTAGAAATTAAAATAAAAAAAAAACAACTGAAAACAATCGAAAACTTCAACCAAAGACATTTTATACTCACACTACTCTTACTTACTTCGTGTATATGTATTATTATTCCTTAAGCAGATTGTGTTAGGGTTTTTTTTAATTTTGATTGGTTGATTTTGTAGCACAGAAATCAATATATATATATGTTGTACATGATCAATATTCGCAAAAAATTTATAAATTTTTGTTATATATCGAGTGTTTCTGTGTTTATTTGTTTATAAAAGTTAATGATTGTGGTATGAAGTGTGTTGGTTAACTTATTGAAAGTGATGAATGGAAATCAATTCCGTTTGGAGCCCCTCTGGGGTTACCTCCCGGTCAAAACCCGAATGAAGGAGGAGGGTTAAGTATAAGGTTAGCCAGCCTATCCTCTAGAAAACCAAATTCAGTATACGAACTATTACTTATTACAGCACATACGCACATATGTCCGAAGAATATTCTCTTTCGAAATAACCACTATTTATGAGAATATGCTGATCTCATTGATGTCTCGTTTGTCTAAAACATCTCTAGGAGTTCTCAAACATCAAATTCTTCATCTAACTGATTGTTTAAAGTATTATCACTTCCACATTATTATCTTAAATGGTCAAATCTGTGACCATGATATGCTTGTTAACTTGTAGGGTGTCGATCTACAGCGTGTTCTTAAGCTCGGTAGTAAACTCGTCCAAACTTAACTGCGTTCCTCCAAAGAATCTCCATTAAGTGTGATTTGGTTGACGTATGTTGTGTTGTATCGCATAATCTTACTTCTACATTGATGTATGTTGAGACCTACTGCTGCAGAGGCTTCTGCTACACTGGTTGTCTTCTCTTGCATTTGTTGTTGTATGTGCAATAGAAGAGCCAGATCATCTGCAACGTCCAGATTGTCCAGCTGCATCTTGACTGTCCATTGAATCGCGTGCTTTCCTTCAGATGCTAACATCATCATAATCCTGTCGATCACCAGGAGAAAGAGAAAGGGTGAGAGTAAGCAACCTTGCCTGACACCGGTCTTCACCTCGAACCAGTCGGTCAGCTGTCTTTTGTGCACGAATATGCAGTTTAATCCATCATAAGAATTCCGTATGATGTCAACTAGTTTCTCAGGCACACCGTAGTGTCGAAGAAGCCTCCACAGTGTTTTCCTATCCACGCTATCGAATGCTTTCTCGTAGTCGATGAAGTTGATGTAGAGTGGTGAGTTCCATTCCATCGATTGTTCCACAATGATCCGTAATGTAGCAATTTGGTCAGTAGACGATCGATCCTTACGAAATCCAGCCTGTTGATCTCGAAGTTGGGATTCAACGAATTCCTCCATTCTGTTCAACAATACCCTGTTGAAAACTTTGCCTGGTATTGAGAGAAAAGTGATGCCTCTGTAGTTCTCACACTTGCTGAGATCGCGTTTCTTTGGTATTTTGATCAGGTATCCTTCTTTCCAATCTGATGGTACTTGTTCCTCATCCCAAATCTTCTTGAAGAGGATGTGAAATATTTTTCGCAGTTGCTTCCACGTCTTTGAAAATGTATTTTTTCACAGTTTGAAAATGGTTGGATTCCTGTAATCGTCCTTCGTAGTTGATGTGAAAATCACTATTAGTACTGCTGTCATAAACATTGTCATCGATAACTATTTATGTATAATATTTAGTTACATAATTTAATTTCGTTGTTATCACTGACTAGTAAGCTGCCATGTTTGGCTTAATAATTAACATACATACATGTACTACAGGTTATGCGTTCTTGCTCAGAATCGAAGGTCCTCGGTTTGATTCTCGCCAGTGCGAGGCAGCCAAATCTCATACTAGAACGAAAAGGCCGTCCAGTGTTTACAGGTTCCTAATGATGGTTTGAACATTGAAACTCAACAATCTTCACAAACCTTTAGTGAAAATAATACTTTGTATCAAGGTATGATGAAGATCTAACTGGAAAAAATGTACATTCAGTGATATTTGTGTTATACTTTAAAACTTAAGTTCAATGCAATTTTTGGGGTAATCACAAGAAAAGCACAGAAGAATGATGATATACTGTCTATTACATTTGTTTCAAGTGTTTTCGTTATTCTCATGATTGTATGCTTTTATTCAACCTAAAAAGCTATAGCCGCTCCTTCGTTTGTTCCCAATTTATTGTAATTTAAGTATATGAAGCCTGTATCCTGATTTTTACTGTAAAATGCCTTATTTTTGGCATAGATTTTATTCAGTAGATTAAAGTGCTCTGTGATGTAGTTTTCCATATATTTAGCCAAGAGCATGTTTAGTTAAAAATCTTTCAGATATGGAGGTTTGCATTACAATATCTACATCGTTTATCCCTTCATTGGTTCTTGAGTGAGGAGACAATTTTGTGATGGCTGTATAGCAGATTATTAGGAAGGGAAGGATAAATGAACCAATCTTGGATGCTTGCACGAAATCGATTTATTTATGTAGCTCTCAAAGGTCGTACATAGATTGTGGTTACCTCTATTTATTAAATTAACTCCGCCTGTAGACCCTTCTGGGCTACTACCGGTCAAAAGCCTGGAGGAGCGTTTGGATTGGAGTTGGCGACCCTGTCCCGCAAAAAAAACTAACTGGCTAAAAAAACCTTAACAAGAAAAAATAATTTAAACCATATAAACTCTGCTCTAGGAGTCAGAAGGTTTTGATTTAGAAGAGTTATGATGTCTCATGATGAAAGCCAAATTCTTTTGGAAGTCACGAGGCCTATGCACCTTCTGACAACCATAACACTTCCACGGTGTGGTTAGCCGGGAAGTTGCATCCGCCCTCATACCCATAAAAGCACACGAGACCAAAGTGGTCACAATCAAATCTTATTCATTAAATCACAATTCAACTAGGATGTGACTAGGGATTTCCTGCAATAAAGATTAGCGAAATAATTAGTCGAACATTCTACGCAGCCAACTTTGTGTTAACTCTCTCAAGTCGATCAGTAATGTTTACTAAAACGAAGAATAAGTTACCTGATTGTGGCTTCTATAATGTGCATTTACAAATTCAGCTTCTCCAATGGAAATAGCTATATCAGGTGTACTACTAGGCAACTGAACCGACAAATGTGTGAATATCTCTTAGCATGGTTTAGAAGGGGCTAGACAAAAACAACACGTAACTCTATGTTGGCACACCTGGTTGATAGCAGTTAGAATAGAGAGTAATCTATCATATACGTCCATCATTTCCCAACAGAGTTACGATCCTGTCTCCTACATCTATAAAAAGTCGTTGAAATCTGAACATTCGACCCTAATTTACGTGTTCACACACCCTTGAACCTTCTTTCGTTGGATGTAACTAAATAAACGATTTAAAAATTTTTTAATTTTTGTTACCATAAACGTTATTTTCAAATTCTGTATTTGTTTGTAATTTTCCGCCTCTTTCCGTTTATATACTTCAATATTTAGTCAGTCATGCACTTGTCAGTACGTGATTGTTTTAGTGTTTTGTGATGCTTAGGTCTGTACATCCACGATTGACCTACATCTCCCAATGTTGAACTATTGACAAACACATTTGTTTTCATATTTTTACTATTCTTACTACTAACAGTACATCTGACTTCCGCACTATCAACTTGTACTTCTACCTAATATGTGTTACGACGTAATCGGTCCGATGGTTAGGCATTCGTGCACAATACCGAAGGTCCCGGGTTCGAATCTCGCGAGGTGCTAGAGTCATGGATGAGCACTGCTGATGATTCCTTTACTAGGATGAAACGGCCGTCCAGTACTTCCAGGTTTCTAATGGTAGTCTAAGAATAATTGATTGATTGGTTTCAACTGTGTAAAAACACAAAACCTCCAAAACTCTGCCCGAAAAACTAATCGGTTTCATTGTGATTATTGACTCACAGTGGTCTAACATCCTTATTAGTTAAGCCATTAGGATAACCAACCTAGATGATCAATGAATTGTACAATGAACATCTTTTACCATTGTGTTTAATTGGTATTCAGCATCCAGAATGTTCGGGTATTTTTCCTTTCTTTTAGTAAGTTAATATTGCATATCAAAAGTGTAATTTTAATTGGTAATTTCATGATGAACATCTAAAGTTATCTACATTTATTTATTCAGGACACTATGGTATGGCACATCTTACCGTTGTAGATGAAAAACACTAGTGGAAATCACTCTTTTATATTGTGATACACATTTGTTCAATCAATGGAAATCTAACCCTTAAATTCTACTGGCCTCCATACTTATTGAACATTGAAAGATGGATACATAGTAGCATCACACCTAAATTACCAATGAGAGTTCTTTTACGGAGCAGTACTTTGTTAGTTTTACGTAACATATTACAATGCCACAATACACATTACACATTCGAATTGATAAAATAACAAAAACTACAATTAAAAACACATGAATAATTTTAAACAAACAAACAAACAGACAGATACAATAAATTGACAATTGAAACACATCAATGAAATCGAAGTTCAATTCACTAATTTCATTGATCAATGTTTACTTGATCTTGATCAAGTAGCATAGGATTGATATTTGAATGATTCCATTGGTTATTGATAGTTGAATCGTTTGTTTGAATTAATAATTTTTCACATAATTCACTAATGACATTATATGCATAATCAATATGTTGTCGATTCGGTGAATGATAACATACAGCAAAACGAATGAAATATAATGGTTTTGGTGATTGTAATTCCGATGAAACTAAATGAATTCGACCATCCGTTTCAATATCATAAAATAATTGTTTTGTTAATTCATTATTATTCTGTGAAAAGAAAATGGCGGGAAATTTAGTTAAATGAGACAATTTTTCATTGTAGAAAGAGTTATGGAGATTGTTATTTTATCATTGAAATTATGAATCGATCATTGTTAGACTAAAACTGGAAACCTTGGAGCTCTGGACTACCGCTTCGTTCTAGTATGGGACTCATTAGCGGTGAGCATCCAGAACTCTTGCTACTCGCAAGAATTGAACTCAGGACCTTCGGTCTTGCGCGCGAACGCCTAAACTCTAGAACATTGTACTGGCTTGTATTTGAAGGTGTTCATGTCTAGTCATGGTTAGCCATCAAGCCTGCTGCACATGCACATCGCTGCTTTTTAGGCAACACAAGGATTCTCACTGTAGCCAACAGTAATCACCTCTGCCCCAGTTGGGAGCATACATGTTGTCCAGTTTGGTCTGTAGACAGGTGGACGTCCAAAAAGCACGCATACGAGCAGTGGCCCCCGCTCGGGAACTTATGAATCAACAAGATCCCTCCAACCAGTTCACTACCCACAAACCCCCCAATTGGCAAGGCGGGCTTACCCAGCTGGACCTGGCACCCTGAAGCGGATTACCGAGCCACCCAAGCAGTTCACTAGCCAGCAGCCGTTTTTTAAACGTCTGACCTCCAACATGAACACCTTTGAAGGTGTTCATTGCCTAACTTTAGTGAATCCAAAGTACAACACAACCTCACCCATTGTCTTCTGTGAGTAACTGCCTACGCCTGACAGAGTTAAACTCCACTGGTTACGGCTTCTCATTAGAACTTCGAGAATTTCTTCATGAAGCTAGATACTAGTGAACACATTTTATGATTTTTCAGCATAGAATTATGCAGTTTGTTGTATCGCATTGAACATTGATCAGTTCATGTATTCAATGATCAATTTCAATGATTTTGAATAGAATTAGTTAATCAAGTTTGTCATTTTATTTTTCACTTTGATCAATATTTTTTAAAAAAAGTATTTGAATAATCTAGGTAATGTAAAATAATTCTCTTGTATTTATCATCAAGTGACGTGCAAACTAATTAACATATATTTTTTGTTGAGGTGAAACTATTGTATAGTATTTTCTTATATTCAATTAAAAATATCGTAACAGTGCTTGCTCACTAGTGACTAGGTTCGTGAGGAAATTCTCGGAGTTCTAGTTGAGAAGACGTGACCACCAGTGGAGTTCGACACTGTCGTGTGTAGGCAGTAACTACCAGAGATAAATGGGTGAGATCGCACAAAACCCCTAGATCAATCAGAATTAGACATTAACACCGTGGGATACCGGCTCAGTGGTCCGATGGTTAGGCGTTCGTGCACAATACCGAAGGTCCCGGGTTCGAATCCTGCGAGGTGCAGGAGTCGTGGATGCGCACTACAACTGATGAGTCCCATAACAGAACGAAACGGGTGTCTTTCAGTGCTTCCAGGTTTCTAATGGTGGTCTAACAATCATTGATTGATGATTTCAAATGTGTAATCAATAGACATTTTTCTCACGAATATGATCAAGAAATCGATTAAAAGAGAGATACAATCAAGATAAAGACATAAACAACGACAGCTTAAAAGTCATGACCGACGTCAACAGGAAAAACTTCGAGTCATACGTGGAGAAATTTGAATACTTCACTTCTTCTATCGGAAGTTTATTCTGATGATGATGTTGTTCAGTAGAAGAACAATGAAAGCTATAAGAATGGAACTCTGTCATAATTGTGTTAATTATTGATAATTGAAAATATCTTTCCATGAATTGAACATGTTTCAGTTAGCCAATATCTTGCTTCAAGTAAAGTGATTGAACATGATATTAAAGTGAGTTGAAACTAAATTCAAATAATTCTCTAGAGTATTAAACATTGCGACATATGTAGTATGATTTCATTTCATAATTCCTGTTAACTATTTCAGAACAGAAGATTTGAAACCAACAAGGTTTATGGACGAACAGAGATACAGTCTAACAGTTTCAAAATGATTATACCAGCGTGGTGTGTGCTACTTATCGAGAAGCTTGTAAGTAGTATGTAGTGAGTATGAAGCAGAGTGTTGCCTTGAAGTTACGGATGAAGCGAAGGGTGTTGTGTCGGAATGTATGATGACATCATAATATCTTCAGGAATAGTAGTCAACCTAGAATACGCTAGTTCTGAAAATAGATATTTTATGATTAGGGTGTACACGTTTTGGTCAATAGACTGTGTTTTCTTCCATCTGGTATTCCGTGTTTCTTTCATTACAACATTGTACCGCACATCATTGACGTGAGTTAAAAACAAGTTTAAAAGATGTTGATATTTTCAAACTTGTGATAAGAATGATTCTATGTTACTTGTGAACTTGAACGAATCATGATTGTACCAATTAAGTTGTGAAAAGCCAACAACTCGTAAAAAAGCTAACTTATTGCTATTCAGTTTTGACCATGGTCTTTCAAAATTACATGAATTCATGATATATTTTATGAAGCAAAACATGGTTGACGAAAAGAATTGACGTGGTGAAAATTAGTAGTGCAGGATTGAGATCATATAAGAATAGAGGGATGAAACAGTGATCAAATGAAGTACGAAAACAGATAAAGTTAGAAATTCATGAAAAGTTTACAGAAGTTTCAGATCAGTTGTCTAGAATTAGTAATTGTCTGTCAGCTACAACGTAGAACTTCGCATGTACGTATGTAGATCAGTTCAAGTTTCAATACCATGTTAACACACAGAGATTCAATTGTCAATTCAAATCCTATAGTATAGTAGAGGTAGTAGAAGTATTAACGCTAATCAAAAAGATTAGCGGTCGGAGATATCATTGGAGAAGTATAATTTAGTGAAATAAATTTAGAAAGAGATAAGAAAAGTTGCATAATCGGTAACCAACAGTTGGAGGAAGGGATTTACATAAGTTTCGTATGGCGAATGAATAAAAGATGATTTTAGCGTACATAAAATAAGAATTAGTTTAGCGAAGATTGCCAAGATTACCAAGAGAAACACAAATAAAACTGACAATCAAAATGGAGAAACATTATCAGGATAGTAATGATTTGATAACCGACGTTTTTTTGGACACATGAATCAGGTTTCAGTCTTTGAATTGCTACTGCTTTTACAAACTGAAAAGACACTGCGATGTATTTGTCTGTCAATGATTTCAAAGGATTGGGAATTGTCAACGATGCGTCTAGTCTCAATCAAATGCCCAATCATTGCACTTCTCATTCTCAAATTCTTTTAAAGATGTGCTCGTCGCGTTATCAATGTTAATTACTACGTATTCTCTATCAGACATTATTGTTACACTTTATAAAATCACTGATTGTAAACAGCTGATGAGAAACCACAATATGTATCATAAATTCATATTATTCTGCCTCAATTGCTATCATAATTTCAAGTCGTGATTTAATCGTTTGAATTAACACGTCTTGTGAAAATGAACGTCAGTGAGTTATATATATATTCATATATATCAGTCAGCAACAACATAGAACTTCGTACGTACGTACATCAATTCAAGTCGCCATACCACATTAGCACAGAGACGCAACTGTCACTTCTAATCACATAGTGATAGCAATAGTAGAAGTATTAGCGATAATGGAGAAGATCAAGGTTCGAGGATATTATTGAAGAAGTATAACTCACTGAAATAAATTTACAAAAAAACGAGAAAGATCAAGTTGCTGAAGAACTCAAAAGATTAGAATTTGACAGAAAACAAAGAATGGATATACCTACACCATTTCAAATGATTTTGAGCCATGTTGTTTCAAGTCTCTAACTATCCGTTACTATTGTCTCATGGAGCCCAACCAAGTAGTATACACTGACTAATATGACTCAGTTCACTAGTCAGTGACTTCATGGATTTGTGACATATTATGGTTCGGTCACCCCTTACATTATTTCAGCCTACTCCTACATCAGACAACATTAATCGTCGAGGCAGTCGTTAGTTGGGCATATATATTTACATAGCTTACTAGTAAATGACAAAATTTTCATCGAATCTATATAGTAATCTAAATGTAACATACAATTGACATCATATTCAACTAACCTTTATTCGAAAACAAACTAAACCCATTAGTACTTCAGCAATAATTTCAAAACGATCATCAGCTAATATAAGTTTTTCAAAATAATGCGCCAGTTGAATATGCTGAAAAAAATTAAAATTAGTTGAATTTGAATTTCAAGAACACTTACATTTTGAATGTAGGTTTGTAGATTTTTTACACCGTATCTTCGTAAAGTGAACCATATTTTCAACGATCGAAATTTTCTACCCAATGGAATTTGCATATGCTATAAAAAAATAATTAATAAATGCCGCATTTCTTAAAATTCATATTTGTGATAGGAAAAATGTATTCGCGAATGTATTGATTGTCGTTAAATGCTAGCTCACCGATCTAGAGGTTAAGCGTTCTGGGTTCGAAACCTGCTAATAGCAGGAGCCGAGGATGCTCACTAATACTCATGAGTCCCATATCGGGACGAGACGGCCATCCAGTGCTTTCACGTATCTGATGCTGGTCTGGTAATGATTCAGTCAATGTGTAGAGGGTAATACTTCTAATTTTTACGTAACAAAGCATTATCTGTTCTATGTACACATTACATTTGTTTACATCAACTTTTATACGGCATTGCGTCTACTGAATTTTTTCTCAGTAGTTAAGGTTTACAAATGAAATTATATATATATATATTTTCAATTAAGATGTAAAGTATCTTTTTCGATTATCGTTAAAATGAAATGTTATATTAAGTTGCCTCCATTCACAAGGTTGTAAACTACACCAAAGTGTACGATTACATTCTACAGTGTTTGTAGTTGAAATGACTTCAGTAAATGATCAAAGAGTTCCATTTTTTAATAAAAAAATAATCCGAACTTGTGTTCACAATGCATAAATAATCAAGAATGACAATAAATTCTCAATATTTGTTTGCTAAATTATTGGAAATTGAATTAAAGTTTTGAATGAACTTATGTCTTCAAAAACTTCTGATAACTACGACAGTTTATTGAAGATAGTATACAATAGTAATCAATTTATATTGGTGGGTATCCTAATTTGTAATTTAATTGTAAATCTAGCCAATTTATTGACAATTGGACATTGAACTAAAACTGAATTGAATCAAGAGTAGACATATATCATGTTAAAGTAGGATAATAGGAAAATAAGCTTCTTTTATTCATCAGTACTTCTAAATTATTTTCATTTAAATGTATTTATTGCGGCGTAATTATTTTCATTAGAATAGAACTACACGTACAAATACAACAGAGAACGAAACAACAGATTCGCCTGACGTTAGCTGCTACATTGACGTGGTGGTCGGTCTTGCCTATATTGATGACGCAACCGAGCTATATTGACAGGAATATATGTTCCTTTAGATCCTACCATGCCAGCCAGGTCGATTAGAAAACGGTAAGACTAAAACTAGCAGCTCAACGTCTAAGGGTAAAGTCGTACAACTGACTGCAGAGGGGTGTGACTACAGTAAGTTGTTTATGTTGGGGACGTTAGATCCCCAGAACGCATTCGGAAAAATTCCTAATTTTTTAATTTATAGCTAAAATTTTGAACTTTTATGTTTTCGCTCCAGTGGACGTTCAGTTGACCTACAGCTTACATTTCCCACTAGGATTCATTGACTGTCATTGGTTGACGGATTTTTTATTACTCTATTTTGTGGCTCCCCCAAGGGCTTTTCTATCATTTTATAGGCGCTTAGCAACCTCGTAATTTCTGGGTGCTTGTAGAATACATTTTCTACGCCTTATAAAGACTTCTTGATTTAGTTAACAGGGCCTGGGACAATCGGATTAGAACAGCCTATCGTATCACTGTATCATGGCTCTTCGATTTGTTTACCGATTAAGGTGAACTCGTAATGGAATTCAAGCATATCAGTTGGCGAGCATATCAGTTTATCTCAGGCAACCAGAATCCGCAGTGATACTGCCTTCTCATAACGAAAGTAAGGGATTAGAAAGGATCGATCCTAAAAATATCACACCTCACTTTACCCCATGAATTGTCGTCTCCGTCAGTAAGGAATTTTCAGGAACGGGGTCGACACTTTACAAATTGCCCATAGAAAAGTCATGTATGACCGGCCTTAAGCAGTTGTCCCTTCGGCTCTTAGGTCCGGCTCTCAGGTCTCTAAGACCAAGGCTAGTCTTACTTCTTTAAAGAAGTACATCCAGAAGGTACAAGTGTTTATTAACAGTTATTTACTGAAAATACTTCGGATCCATTGGTTAGGCATTATCTGTATCAGCCTATTGTGGGATAGAACAAACCCGATTCCAGCGGAAGAAGAAATCAGGAAGAAGCGCTGTAAGTGGATAGGATACATACATACATCACAGAAAAGTCCTCCCTTGGAATCCTCATGGCCGAAAGAAAAGAGGAAGGTCAAGGGATAGATTAGACCAAGCAACGGCAATCAACATGAGAATAATGAACAACATTTAGGTGGAACTCCAAAGTGGGGCAGAGTAGGTTGAAGAATACTAGTCGGCGGCCTATGTTCTATTGGGAGCGACAGGTCCACATAAGTAAGTAGTTATTCTTCATTGAAAATTAATGTATAATATCAGAAAAAAAGTGCTTACACGAAAATCAATGGAAGTTTTTTGATGTTTATGCTTCAAATAAGGTGGATCAACGTGAAATGAATTTTTAACCCAATTCACTTCACGATACCTGGAAAAGAAAAACCGGTAAATTAACTAGATTTTTCACTTATAATAAACATTCAAAACGGTTAGTAAAAAGAAAATCCGATCATTCTATCTGATCACTGATGAAATGAAAAAAAATACTACCATCTACTAGTCTAACAATCTTCATAACTAGTGACTATCTTTGTGGGGAAATTCTCGGAGTTCTAGTGTGAAGACATGACAAGTGGAGGTCAACCTTGTCAGGTGTATGTAGTAACTACCGAAGACAAGTACGTAAGGTCATGCAAAATCCCTAGATTGATCAGAGATAGACTCTACCACTGTTGGATACCAGCCCAGTAGTCCAGAGTTTGGGCGTTCGCGCGCAAGACCGAAGGTCCTAGGTTCGATTATTGCGAGTGGCAGGAGTCGTGGATGTGCACTGCTAATCAGTCTCATACCAGAACGAAACAGCAGTCCAGTGCTTTCAGGTTTCTGATGGTGGTCGAACAATCATCCATTCATGATTTCAAGGTCAAACTAAGAAATTAAAAACTCGACATAATACTTCAATGCAAAAATTAAATATTTTCGGGATTCGTCAACAGCACGAAATTAGACCTGACCAAAGGAGTTCAACCCTGTCGGGTATAGGCCGTAACAACTACCGAAGACAAATAGATGAGGCTGTGCATAATCTTTAGACAGACCTCTAGTACACAGTAATACCGTTAGATCTCTACCGGTTCAGTGGTCTAGAGGTTAGGGTTCGAATCCAGCTGATAGCAGGAACCGTCTATGTGCACTGCTACTGATGAGTCGCATACCAGGACGAAACAGCCATTCAGTGCTTCTATTCATGATTTCAAGGTAATACTCTGATGCAAAAATTAACTATTTTTGACGAATAAACAAAAATTTTGAATGGAATAGAGTATCGACTTTAATAAAAAATGACAAACTGTTCAGAAGAATGCTTTATTCATTGACAAAAAATATGAAGATCAGTATGAGAAAACTGGATGTACTGGATGGCCATTTCGTCCGAGTATGCAACTGATTGGTAGTGAGTACCCACAACTCCTACTGCTCGCAGCATCGGGACACAGAACTTTCAGTCTTGTGTGCGGGCCATTATTCAACGATGTTAATTTCTAACTCTGATCAATCTAAGGATTTCGTTCAACCTCACCTACTGTCTTCACTAGATAACTGCCTACACCTGGTAAGGTTGAACTCAATTGGTCACATCTAGATGCCCATTGTTGATGAATGCCATGCCCTAGGAAAAAATGGCCGTCTTTCAGTGTTTCCAAGTTTATTCACATAGTAATCTAACAATGATTCAAACTACGCTTTACATAATACTCGAATGTAAAATACACTTCAATTATTTAATATTCAATTACTCATCAATGATACAATCAAACAATTTAGTATACTAATCACTGAATTACTCATATCAGGTAATTCGATAAATGATTCATATGAAGTTGGACAATTGAACAATTGAATGCAGAAAAAATTTCATTCTTATCAAAGTTACCGTTAGAGAATTGCCATTCACATGAAACATTTATGAAAATCGAGATCATATTACTGAAATTCGGTTGTTGCATATTCAACTAACTATTCAATTATTATTCAAAATTTTTAAAAAACTTTAACCCTGTGGTAATATATATACTATATCATATATCACCTTTATCTTATTGAAATATCAACATAGTTAGTCATTGGAAAACTTTTTTTTAAAATATAAACTTACTTACCATATAATTGAACAATCGAAATTAATCAGTAACCATTTATGTGGGTTGAATACAAATGACATGGCAAACTGAAAAAAAAATTAGTCATTCAAAAGACAATGAAAAACAGTTTTAAATGATTTACTCTGATGAGTGATCTATTGTGCAAGTTGAAAATCATTTTCATAATGGTATAAATGTAAGTAGGTGGGTATCAGTAGGCTAATGTTGAAAAGTAACCTTTCAACTTACTTATTTACTTACTTACTTGCTTCCTTACTTACTTACTTACTTACTTACTTACTTACTTACTTACTTACTTACTTACTTACTTACTTACTTACTTACTTACTTACTTACTTACTTACTTACTTACTTACTTACTTACTTACTTACTTACTTACTTACTTACTTACTTACTTACTTACTTACTTACTTACTTACTTACTTACTTACTTACTTACTTACTTACTTACTTACTTACTTACTTACTTACTTACTTACTTACTTACTTACTTACTTACTTACTTACTTACTTACTTACTTACTTACTTACTTACTTACTTACTTACTTACTTACTTACTTACTTACTTACTTACGCCTGTTAGCCCCAATGGAGCAAAGGCCGCACACCAGTTTTCTCCAACAAACTCTGTCCTGGGATTCCCTCTCCAGTTCTGTCCAATGCTTGTTCATTCCTCTCATATATTTCTCTATTTCTCGGCGTAATGTGATCATTGGCCTTCTTCTTTTCCTTTTGCCTTGAGGGTTCCATGTAAGGGATTGTCTCGTGACGCAGTTAGGTGCTTTTCGTAGTGTGTGTCCTACCCACTTCTAACGATTCTTCCTGATTTCCTCCTCCACTGGAATCTGGTTTGTTCTCTCCCACAGTTCGTTGTTGCTGATAGTATGTGGCCAACGAATCCGAAGTATTTTGCGTAGACAACTGTTCATAAATACTTGTATCTTCTGGATGATGGCTTTCGTAGTTCTCCAGGTTTCCGCTCCATACAGTAGAATTGTCTAGACATTTGTTTTGAAAATCCTGATTTTGGTGTTGATTGATATTAGTTTGGAGTTCCAAATGTTCATCAGCTGTAAAAATGCAACCCTTGCATTGCCGATCCGCACCCTCACATCTGCATCGGATCCACCTTGGTTGTCGATGATGCTGCCAAGATATGTAGAGTTAATAACGTCCGCTTAGGCATCTCCATCAAGAGTGATTTGATTATTGGATGTTGTGTTGCATCGGAGAATTTTGCTTTTTCCTTTATGTATGTTGAGACCTACCGCTGCAGATGCTGAAAGCACTAAAAGACGGCCGATTGTGCGCGAACGCCTACACATCGGACCACTGAGCAGGCATCCAATGGTGTTAATGTCTAACTCTCATTGATCTAGGGATTTTGAGCGACCTCACTCATTTATCTTTGGTAGTTACTGCCTACACCCGACAGGGTTGAACTCCATTGGTGGTCACGTCTTCTCAACTAGAACTCCGAGAATTTCGTCACGAACCTAGTCACTAGTGAGCACATTTTACGATATTTTCAGTCAGACAATAACAACGTTGGATGCCGGCCCAGTGGTCCGCTGGTTAGGCGTTCGCGCACAGTACCGAAGGTCACGGGTTCGAATCCTGAGAGGTGCAAGAGTTGTGGATGTGCACTGCTGATGAGTCCCATACCAGGACAAGACTGGCGTCTTTCAGTGCTTCCTGGTTGCTGATGATGGTCTAACAATGATTGATTGATGATTCCAAATGTGTAAAAATACCAATCTACTAAACTCAAACTGAAAACAAACAGAAAGTAAGGATGTTGTGTTACATAGCTAACAAACTGTGAGTGAACTGATCACTTTTGAAATAATCGTACAGTATGAAAAGATTCGATAAATTCCCCCAGCAGAACAACTTTATTATATTAGGTGTATGAATTAATATTTCAAATATTATAATGAACGGTAGGGTTAGTTTAATTACGACTTAGGAACCAGTAAAAACCAGGAAGCCCAATACAAATATTTCTATCTAGTGTTGAACATCTAAGCAGTGGGAAACAAGGCTTTGATTGATGACTTTTAACTCGTATGTTATACAATTGAGAAGTTCATATTTCGAGTTTTATTTAATTCGTGAGGTATCATAACACTGGTCAGTAACTACCATTTTTTGACCATACCTTCACTTCACTAGACACTTTATATTAAAAAACATTCATCAGGACAAAGTTCAAGTCATCCAACTCGTTTCCTTGAGATATCGAAGTCTTGAAAGTCCAATCAACCATAAAAAGAAAAATGGAATATGATAGTAGGCAGTCCTATCAGATAACAGTCAACACAGAATGAACTTGACAGCTAGCCTCCATTGACAATTTGGAAGTTCAGTCTTTCCTTAAAGATCCGTCTGATGCTTACAATCTTCTCAGGTGCTTCATATTTCCGAAGAAGACAGACAGACAGGTACAACGCAGAACTTCGTACATAAGTACATCAGTTCAGGTTGCCATACCACATCAGCACAGAGACCGAACTCTAAATTCAAATCCAAGTGTGATAGCGATAGTAGAAGTATTAACAGTAATCGAGATTAGGGTTCGAAGATATGATTCGAGAAGTATAATTGAGGGAGACAAATTTAGAAGAAGAAGGATAGAGATTATGAGGAATTCAGAAGGTTAGAATTAGAGAGAACACAAAGAATGGATGCACCTGAGCCATGTCGTTAAAGGTCTCTAATCATCGGTGACTTTCGTCTCGCAGTAACCCATCAATCTTCTTTTGAAATCTCATTGAATCTTCCTCGGAAATTCGAGGAGATTTCACTTCTTACTCTATCGAATGTCTTCGCACAGTCAAGGAATTTGATTCGGAGTGATTTGTTCCATTCAGTCGACTGTTCAACAATGGTCTGTAGTTTCTCGATTCGGTTGTTGCGTGATCTGTCCTTATGAAAGCGAGCTAGGCTTCTACCAACTTCGTCATCCGGTTCAGCAATATTCTACTAAGTACTCCGTATGGCACTAGCAATAATGTGGTGCATGTGTAATTCTCATACTTTCTAAGGTCTCCTTGCTGCGGTATCTAAGTAAAGTACCCTTTTTCATTGTCTGTTAACTAAATGATTTCTATGAATCACTGTATTACCCAGCTGGAACTGATGTAGCTCTATGTATGCATTTGTGGGGTATTATGGTGCCCCTTATGACTATTATGTTGAAAACACATAAATTTGCAAATCTCTCATCATCTTCGTTCCTTTCTCCCAGTTCACTTAGTCCAATGTTGTTTATTCCAGTCTTGTCGCCTAGAGTATCTATTTAGAATGGCCAAGTCTTTAACTGCGCATTTCCTTACGATTGACTACAATCTCTCATAGAATCGATAATGATCATTTTTATTGTTGTCATTTGTAATCCCCTCATTTCTTTCAGCTAAAGAATGCGTTGATGATCATGAATTCACAAAATTCCCATCCTATAAGCATTTTTCGTGCTTTTTTTAGTCAGTGTCAATGCAACTTCTTGTGTATGCGAGGCATTTTCATCTTCGTGACAACATCTCTTGTGAAGTTAATCTTTTTCATCTACATTGTATCCGATGGGATTTATATATATTCCAAACACTACCGCATCGTCTTCTTCTTTGTGTCTGTAAATGAATATTCCTTTCAGTCTGTGTCACATTGTCTGTTGACATTCTATGTACTTTTGTTAGTCATAACTTAAATTGTCAAGAAAGGTATCAGCTTTGTAATATATCTAAATAATCTCAACTTTTTGACCATATGTCATCATAATCCTTCTAATGTAAAGACAGACTCCTTCACTTACAGGATAGAGTTTTTTTTAATGTGGTTGAAATGTATCTTCTAGTTTGTTAATCTCATATGGAAATCCCCCTGTCCAATATTCTTCTATAACATTTTCAACCTGTTTGCTTTTAGTATCAATATAATCTTTTCATTGTTAATATTTCATCATAAAAACTTTAGACAGATAATGTTTTGATAAATATAAACAAAAGTTTTGAATAATTAATTGTCAGATTTTTATATTCATTTTTAAAATTGATGTTTTATAGTTTGTATTTCAGTTTACTTTTATTCAAAATTATCATAATCTCATGTCAGACATTAATCAACTTTTATTAATTCAGAATAAATTATTTATCATCATTTCCTACTTTGATTGTTGTCATTTTTAGAGTAAAACACAATGCACGTACATTTCTTTCTTCCTCCCCATCATCATCATCATCAAAACAGCAAGCAAACTGAATTCTATTTAATACTACTACTGTGGTGTGTGCTACTTATACGAACGATATAAGTAGTATAAGAAGGGACGTGAAAGAAGAACTCTCACGGTCACTAGAGGAAAACGGAAAGCAAATGGAGCAAAAGCAAGAAGTAAATGGAGTACCAGCAGGAAGGAAAGGAAGCAACAGCAGGAATGGGAGACGGATGGAGCGTTGGAAGTCACGACGACTCAAAGATGGTGTGCAAATAGAGTGTTCTATGTAATGTTTTCGTTTTTAATTGACTAAGAGCTTGCCTCAGTCTTCTCATTACATGTTAGGAATATGAGTCATTATTAACATTGAACTTATAAATCAACATTTCTATCAAGCTATGAGTAAACTTCTTTTTAAGTTTAAACAATATTTGGCGCGAAATAATATTTAAAACAATATTTTCTAATGATTTGAATATTTTGTTGATAATAAAAACAACAAATGATCAGTCTTTATTAATCTCTTTTCAATTGTAAGACTATTATGTTCGTCATTAAGTATGCTTGAGGCTATTACGAGTTCATCTTAGTCGATGAACACGAACGAGAGAATTAATTACCAGCGTTCAGGTAGGCTACCTTGAATCCCAAGCTGAAGATAGAAGACTTCATAAACGTAGAAGTATATTCTACAAACACCCAGCAATCACACAATACAATCAAGCACACAACTCTTGTTTTTTTACACAACATAGAAACGTTCTTGAGACAGTTAAGAAAATAGCACACTAAAATACACAGCAGCCAATCCCATCCATGGATTTTCCTGATGGGAAATGTGTAATCTCAAGATCAACTGATCAGCCCATGTTGGAAAACGTGAACACAAGGCATTTATCAAGCGAGTTTTAGGGATCTAACATCCCCAAAAAAGACTGAATCAGTATGTACCGGAAATTTGAAATAACACGTACTTAGTTTAACTATCAACAAATATTAACAATCTAATCCAGATATCCTAAATTCATCTGTTAGTCATAATTTAAACATCCCGAACAAAACGCAAGCTGGCAATATTAGTCCCACGGCATAACTCCTCATGAATTTCAGTGTACTTTAAAATTATGCAGTACTACCGTAGTGAAGCAGAACACAGGTGGAGCTACCGAATTGTATTTGACGAAAATTACAGAGTTACTCAGTAAAATAGGGAAACCATATCGTAAATCGTTCATTTGCAAAATATCAGATCATCATATCGAACTGGACTGTTCCTGTTGCAAAACATCAATCCATTGTCACTATTCATGTGTTTCATACAAATTCGATTGTGTTCTTCTAACTCTTCCTTTCTTGATCTTCCTCCATCTTCTGCTGCCAGACATTTCGTTGACACTCACGTCATATACTACTTATAAGTAGCTCACACCACACTACTACTCCAGTTACTTGGAAATTGAATTCAACTAGTGGTTGAATCTATGCGATCATTGAGTTATTCACGATTAGTGTTTTCAATCATTAATTTTGAAATGTTCAGTATCTAATTAGCATTAAAAATTATTCTTTTGAAGTTTGATAAACAGAACAAGATAATTGGTTTGAGTTAGCTTAGTAGTATCAGCTGTGATTCCAAATATTTACACACGCACACACACACACATACGCATTAAAAGTATTTCTGTGATTGACAAATAACTTGTTCAGTTTGTTCAAGTATGTTTTAATTCATAAACTAAAGCTTTGATGAAATGATTTCCTGTATATATCCGTCTGGCTTACATTTTTACTCATATCTATTTGTTGTCATTATATTTTCACTTGAATTAGAGAAGAACCAATAAAATTCGTCTGATGAAGGTTGTTGTGAAACTTCATTTGTGTTATTCGGAGCAATTATCTAACGATTTCTCACAAACCTCAACCCGATATAGTTTGTATCTGCTTAGGCAGTACTCCCTAACAGTCAGTAATTTCATTGACCGGTGCTACACTGTGAATTTCCTGCTCCAATCTATTTTTCATTAACAAAGAAACACGACATATAGAGCTAAGCGAGGGTTTCATTAACGTAATACATAGCTCAACCCACCAACAGAGATTCGCTAACTCATTAAACGATTTATCATTTCTATCCATTGCAATGAATTCAACTTCAGTTCTACATATTCGATAATTTCAATATATATGACCAGTGTTTTGGTGGTATTTATGACCTCATACAAAATAATCGATAGATATTACATTTTTAGATTTTATGTTAATACAGATAAAGTGTTCAACAGTTCAAACTGCTTAGTAGTAAACTCATACAGTAGTTCTTCAGATAATACTGCTTCAATGTTAAAGACATCTTTAAACATGGAAAAAAGCTTTATTCATGTGTCTTTCGGTAGTTAAAAAAATCCACGTCTGTACAAAATTTGACCGAACAAAGTCTATTCAGAATTATTTTCCGTTAAAAATACCTCAGAGCACCACTTTATCAAGTGTTTATTAACAGTTGTTTACACAAAATACTTCGCATTCGTTGGCCAGACACAATCAGCAACAACCTACTGTGCGAGAGAATAAAACAGATGCCATTGGAGGAGGAAATCAGGAAGAAGTGGTGGAAGTGGATGGGACACACATTACGAAAGGCACCTAACTGCGTCACAAGACAAGCCCTCACATAGAACCCTCAAGGCAAAAGGAAAAGAGGAAGGTCAAGGAACACATTATGCCGAGAAATAGAGAAAGATATGAGAGGAATGAACAAACATTGGACAGAACTGGAAAGGAAATCCCAGGACAGAGTTAGTTGGAGAAAACTGGTGGGCGGCCTATGCTCCATTAGGGGTAACAGGCGTAAGTAAGTAAGTAAGTACCATTTTATCACGGAAACTTGATGAATAAATAACTATTTAGTTCGTTCACCAAACCAAACTCGAAGTAAAAAGATTTCTAACAACTTCGGCATTGTCCGTAATTCATTACACGTTTGTTTTATTTAATATTTTTATCAAATAAAACGCACATCGAACTAGAATATACTTACTTCAATTCCATCCATTAAATATCGATATTCTGGACAAATAAATGAAGAACCAGCATAAGCTGCATCTACATGTAACCATATATTGTATTTATCGCAAATAGGACCAATATCCTTTAATTTATCAAATCCACAAGTGGCTGTTGTTCCCAAAGTTGCACAACACTAAAATAAGCAAAAATTATATATTTTGGTTAGCAAACTTATACTACTTCCTTTAAAAGTAAGTAGTAATATTAGTTGACCAAAAAAAGTTGAAT